CATCTCTCCTTCTGCTCTTCAAAATAATTAAGAAAATGAAAAGCAACCACAAAATGGAGAACATGTTTGCAATGTATGCATCTGTCAGAGGACTTGGAGCCTGTTTTCATGAGCTTTTGCATCACGGTGACCAACATGCCCAATAAGAACAGTTTAGAAGAGGAAAAGTTTCTTTGGGGTTCAGCATTTCAGGGGTCTCAGTCCACAGACAGCCCACTCCACTGGCCTGGGCAACATCATGGGGGAAGCTGCAAAGCTCATGGCAGGGTCAAGAAGCAGACAGAGAGAGAAAGGGGGGAAGGGACCACAGGGAAGAAGTACCCTTCCAGGGATATCCCCTGTGACCCACCTCCTCCAGCCTACAGTTGCCACCAAGTCAGTCTGCTCAGGCTAGGATGGACTGCGCAGGTCACAGCTCTCACAATCCAATCATCACTTCACCTCTGAACATTCGGGCATTCGTACAAGGGTTTTGGGGGGACACCTCAGATCTGAACCATAACATATCCTAAATATATAAAGAACTCATAATTGAACAAGACAAACCAAAGTTTTAGAGGGGGGCAAGACATTTGAACCCATTCTTCACAACAGAAGAAGTACAAATGGCAAATGAGCACAAAAAGGAAGTCAACCCCATCCGTCATCTGGAGATGCAACTTTAAACTACAATGAGATACAACCACAACCGCTTGAATGGCTACAATGAAAAAGACTGACAAAGTGTTGGTAAGGATTTGGAGCAACCGGAAGACTGCCCGGAAGAGCACAAAATGGCATGAACATTTTGGAAGAGTTTGTCAGTCTTCTCTTAAAAAGCTAAGCAGGACTTACCGTATAACCCAGTACACCCACTCCTATCTTACTTGCCCAGGATAAATGAAAACATAGGTCTACACAACACATATTCTTTATTTGCAATAGACCAAAACTGGACACAACCAAATCATCAGTGGGGTGAATAGGTAAACAAACTGTGAAGGTTGGGAAGTCCCAGATTGAGGGGACAGCAATTTTAGTGTCAGATGAAGGCCTGTTTCCTGGTTCATAGGTCCTGATTCAAGGGGGTGACCTCTTGTTGTATCTTCTCATGGTAACAGGGATAAACCAGTTCTCTGGGGCCTCTAAGTGTGTTCATGAGGCCTCCACCTTCAAGATGTAATCACCTCCCAAAGACCTGTCACCTTGTTGGTCAGGATCTTGATAGATGAATTCTGTGTGTGTGTGTGTGTGTGTGTGTGTGTGTGTGTGGTGTGGCAGGTAGGGGCAACAGCATTCAGATCAGCAGGGCGAGGTGGCACATGCCTACAATCCCAGCAACTCAAGATCTTGAGACAGGAGCACTCTCCTACCGCAGAGCCCTCTTAAAGAAAGGAATCTTTTGCCATCTTTAACAATTGTTTGGATAATTTTTCTTTAACAGCTAATATCTCTTATTGTGTGACTGAGTACCGGTTTCCTCATCTGTACAGTGGAAAAAACAACAGCTTCATCTTTGAGGCATGGAGAGGATCAATTGAGATTCCAAATAACTTTGGTAAAGGGTAAAGCTAAAGTGTATACACACTCTTGTTCCAGAGGTCCCTGTTTTAAGTCCTAGGTGGAGGACTGCACAAGCCTGGAGTTGATTGGCTTGGGACAGGAGGAGGARGCCTTCGGAGTTTTTCTGACTCTGGTGGAAAGGAGCTAACATAGCCTGTGAGGCAAAAGTTGTAAACTTTGGCGCCCACAAGGGAAAGGGCCATTCTCTGTTCCACCACAGAATGCAGCCTTTTCTTTCGGGCCTTGGGCAATGCGGTTTGCAAGGCCTTTGGGGCCTCACCATGCCGACTTGTGGCTCCTTCTTACTGTTGCTGGGGAACTGATGTCTCCAGAGAAGGGTTGGAGGAGTTCGCAGAGAGAAGGGGGAACTCAATTCAGGACCAGCGGGGTTTTCACCATACTGGATGGAAAAGAATTTCAGTACGTTGCAGTCAAAAGCAAAGGCAGAGGTTTATTTAGGAAAGTAGATACATATTCAAGGGAGAAGTGGGGATGGGGAGCAATCTCAAAAGAGAGACACCTTTGGGGTAAAGTATGGAATACACACTCAGCGGAGAATGCTAGCCATGGCCAGAGGGAGGGACAGCAACCCGTTRGTGTGGGGTGTTCATATCTACAGGGGGCCGAGAGCCGTACTAGGGGCTGGACTAGAGACGCAGGCAGGGTGGAGCTACACAATTTTGCACCAGTTTTTATCATTTGCTTATATATTTYCCTCATTTTATAAGGGCAGGGGCCAAGGGCAAGTTGCTCAGGCTCAAGATTTACAACTGTGCTTTCTGCATCTCAATGGCTTGTGGGAGGGTCCTTTCTTTATCCTAAATCCCATCTCACTATCATCTTTGTGGCCTTCCACCTGCAGCGCCCGCGGAGTGGATCGGGTGGACTGGGAGCTCTTGGAGGGGCCCGGAGCTGGTACAGTGAACTCCAACATTTRTATTAGATAAGGGCATACAAGAGCTTTCTCCAAGACCGTACTAAACCGGTTGGTACCTAAGACTCTCCGGTCCTGCGGTCCGCGCCTGCGCACTGGAGCCCGCCGCGGGCGGGAGGAACRTACCAAGCGGGGGACCGGGGGTGCGCGCGGAGACCCCTGCGGGCTGGGGCTCACCGAAGCAGCCCCTTGCCCGCTCCGGAACTTGCAGTTCCCGGTCTCTGCCTTCCGGTTGGCGCGTCGTGGGGACTCCCTCCCTCTGCGCTGGGAGAAGCGCAGCGGCGGCTTGGCGTGCACCTCCCTTGGACGCGCCGACCCAGCCCTGGCACCTGGCCCCAGGTAAGCCGCKGGGGACGCCACCGTCCCACTTTCCGGTCTCTGGAGCTGAGGTTCGGGGGCGACCTGCTAGACTTAAGCTGCGGGCGCACGGCTGGGGCCCTCCGCGGCCGGCCCGGTCCGGTCCCAGAGCTCTTACGCACGGATGAGGCCAGAGCCGCGGGACAGACCGCCCTCAGCCACTTCGGAGCCGAGAGCCGCCCTGGATGCTGTTACCGACCGGACTCAGTTAACCCGCGGCGGCCCTCCGGCTGGGTGCTGTCCTCGCCCACGGCGTAGCGCAGGCGCCCGGTGCGCGCAGGCTCGTGGGCGCACCTGGCGGGTAGCTGAGCCCGGGTTCTGGACACCGTCCTTCTAGGCCACCGGGGACCCTCACCCCCACCTCCCGGGAAAAAGCAGAACGTTCTGGTGGTGCGTTGTTTCAACAGATCTCATTTTGTGTCACTTTTGCCTAACTTAAAGGTCTGGTGATGTTTGATTATTATTTAAGACGTCCCCCTTTAGGTTTTTGCAAGCCAAATGTGTATGTGGGACAAAATCTAAAAATATATAGTGGTTTTCGCTCTTTAACTTCCAACACATTCCTCCTTTTCCCCACCACCTTTCCACCTGCTTACAAGCCCAGGACTTGAGGGCCCAGCTAGTGTTACCGCTGTTTCCCGGTGACTGTCCTTGCTTCCCCGATGCTGAAGTATAACACCCGAGAAGCACCCCGAGGCAAGTTTAGGGTGGAAAGTAGAAGCTTTATTAAGACAGCAGAAAAGACTTCTCCCCGGAGGAAGAAGGGGACCCAGAGGTGGAATCCGTGGAAGGGCGATGTCTTCCCCTTTTTATAGTTAAGGTCTTCTTTCACCTTTCCCACATTTTGTCGCTGTTGCTGTCCTTTGTTCTGTTATCTTGCAGTGATAGAATGTAGGTGGGGAGACCTGAAAGGTGAGGGGCAGTTGGGCCAGAGGAGTAATCTGGGCTGGAAGGACCTGGGGCGCTTCTGATTAGCACCTTCCTGTTTGCTGGGAGCTGCTCCATTAACATTTCTTTAGAATAGGCTCTGGGCCTTGGGAACATTAACATTTCAATTTCCCCAAGTGCTGCTCTGCTTTCCCGTTCGCATTCTCAACATGGCTTTCATTTTCGATTTTACTGGATATTAGACCTGATTTTCCTAACTATACTAACTACCTATCTTTAAATCTGGCTTCACTAGTGCCCTAGTATGGGGGGAGGGGCGCCGGGGACGGGGTGAAAGGTGGGGACTGGCGGGCCTGGGCAGAGTAAGAATTGGAAAAGATCTGGCATAATTAAGGCATCTTAGAAAGAGAGGAGTGGCCTCTCTCTCTGGGCGCCCTCAGGGAAAGGATTGGCAAGAGCAGTCTGAATCGGATAGCCTCAGATTCATTAAGCCCACACATTTATCAGTGGCCTGGCTTCCTCTGGGAGACCAATAGAACCCCCGCACCTGATCAATGCCTCTGCCTCGCCTGCCCTAACTCTGAGGCCAATCCCTTCCCCCTCCTGTGCTCTCAACCCGTTTCCTCTGGAAGCTCCAGCCTTGGATTTGACCTTTGTCCTGTGTAGTTAGCTTGCCCCTCTTCTCATTGTACTTGTTCTCTGTTTAGGGTTGCAGCCAAGCCCTTTCCTCCCATCTCCATCTCCAACACTTAAAGTATAGTCAGCCTTCCACAGCTGCAGGTTCTGCAACCAATGGGAGGTCATAATTATCAGGAAAAAATTGTGGGGCTGGAGGTGTAGCTCCACGCTAAAGCCCTGGGTTCAATTCCTAGTATTGGGGGGAAAGAAAAGAAAGAAAGAAAAAAAAAATTGTGTCTGCCCTGAACATGTGCAGACTTTTTCTTAAAATTAGTACTAAACAATAGGGCTTAGCAATTGTTTACATAGCATTTACATATACCAAGTATTATAGGTARTCGGAGATGATTAAAGAATGTGGGTTGATGTGTGTAGATCATATACAAATGCTACTCCATTTGATTTAAGAGACTGGAACTGGTTTCTTACCCCAAATGCCCCGAGGGCAGTTATTCTCCTATATTTGTGTTTTGGTACTGGGGATTGAGCCCAGGGGCAGTTTACCACTGAGTCACATCCTCAGCCCTTTTTATTTTTTACTTTGAGACAGGGTCATGCTAAGTTGCTCAGGGCTTTGCAAAGTTGCTGAAGCTGATTTCAACTTGGAATTCTCCTGCTTCAGCCTCCTAAGTCACTGGGATAACAGGTATGTACCACTGCACCCAGCCATATTTTTATCTTGAGGACTTAATGCTGGCTCGTAGTGAGTATTTCATGAATCTTTGTTAAAAGGTTGAATACACTGARTATAGCATCCTAATAGGACAAAGCTAATTGGGAAGCAACAGGATCGGTACCCTGAGGTACACGAGTGGATCTTGGGTGAAGGTTTTGGGGTGTGCCCCTGGGCTATAGCTCTTAACAGACAGGTGTTTCCCATTTCTACCAGGTTGTAAAACCGTGGCCTGGTTTTAGTGCCCTGTGTCCTCATTGATGGTGATATAGCCTACAGACTCCTTTGGAGGTTTGAACTCACAGTCTGGGTTGCATTCTCCAGTCAGGAAGCAAGAGCTGAGGTAAGTCCCTTCCAGTGCTGACATGTGGAAGCAGCCTTCTGGGTTCGAGACAGTATCTTGTATGTCATTCCCGATGTTATCCAGCCTCCCACGTGGCACCTCACACGGGCCTTTGTTTTCATCTGATGTCTGGGTGGATGACTGAGTTCTGTGAAATAAGCTTGAGGGTGTGGCTTCTTTAGCCTGGGAGACTACTATCTGGAAGGATCGTCTCCTGACAGAGACTCAGAGCCAGGTGGCTTGACACCTGGGAAGTACAGACCTGCCATCTCCGGGGATTTGTAATATTTGACAGCACTCGGTGTCAAGGTGTCTAGGTTTTCCATCTTCCCTCTTGATCTCCTCTTGATCTTCTCTGAAGAGATGAGKCCTGCTGACTTCGGGTGCTGTGGGTGGGTGTCTAAGTCGCCTTCCTCAGAGTCTTCTCCATCACCAGGACGTGCATCCTGGCTCACTGGGCTCTTCCTCCTCTACTGTCTTCTTTTCTTCTCACTTCCTGTGTCTCCTCTGACTTCTGAGGGTCTTGTCCCTTCACAGTCCTGAACTCAACCTCACACCCAGGAAAGTGAATTGAAGGTCACAGCCAGGTTTTGGACTTGAGCATCCGGGTGGCAGGGTGTCCCATTAACCAAGACGGAGTGGCACGCGGGGAGAGCAGGCGAGGGGAGCTTAAGAGAGAGTCCTGATCCCCAGACAGACCTGGGTGCAGAGCAGAGCAGCCTGGGTGCAGGTGGGCCCAGAGAGGCAGCCTGAGGAACATCACTCAGGGGACACCCAGAGGAAGAGGCACCAGCAGAGAGACTGGGAAGGCACCTAAGGTGGGAGGAAAACCAAGACAATGTGTTCCTACCTGAGGAGAAAGGGCATTTCGAGAGGAGGAAGTTGGGGTGGGGGGTGGCGGAAAAGCCATTGAGTTAGGGGCAAGACCCCTAGAGGAGCAGGTATTGAAAGGAATGGGGGGTGAGAAAATAGCCCTCCTGGAGGTTTGTCTGTGACAGGAAAGAGCTTGCGAGGGCACTGGGGATGCTCCATCTGTGTTCTCTGCAGGAGGCTGACCAGCAGCACCTCTGGCTCAGGACCCTAGGCTGCCTTTTTTTTTTTAACAAATTTCGAGCCACATTGTACCTTTACTGYGCCTCCTGCTGCCCAGGTTTTCAAGACACAGCTTGGGAGCCCCTCTCCCTTTTACTAGTCTCTCCCCTGGGAAAACTGCCAGGACTTGTTGGTGAGGTCATTCCCTTCCTTGGGTGGCACAGACCACGTGGAACTTCTTGCCTTCTGCATGGCTCTGCATGTGTGAGTCAACACAGGGCTCTCGTCTACTTTACTTGGTATCTACTACACCCCATAGAAAAATAACCACGTGGGGCTGGGCTTGTGGCTCAGTGGTAGAGTGCTCGCCTAGCATGTGCAAGGCCCTGGGTTTGATCCTCAGCACCACATAAAAATAAATAAAATGGATTTACTGTGTCTAACTACAACTAAAAAATAAATATAAAGAAAAGAAAAATCACGTGCCTCCTGTGTTCTCAGACATTGAAAGAAAAAAGGGGAAAGTCCATCAGTTTGGCAAAGAAGATGCACAYAGAAGCCTGTAATGTGCAGAGAGCCGTGGGGACCAGCCTCCAGAGTGCCCTGTCTGGCTAGAGGAGTGAAAGTTGCTCTTCACCTGGGAGTTCGTGGCCTGGGGAGTTGGTCCTGGGCCTGAGTTCACTCTCTTGCTGTGCCTCRCCACTTGTCTCTTGACCTTCTTTCTCCTGTCCTGTCTGGGCCTCCCCTTCCCCTCAGTGGTCCCCAGAGTTAGGTGGGGACAGTGAGAACCGTGCTTTTCATCTTGCCTTGCAGCCTGGGCCTGTCTTCTCATTTCGCCAAGTTCCCAAGCATAATAGAAATGGAGAAAAGCAAAAAGGCCCGCAAGAGGCAGATCCCCTCCAGATTAGTGGGAAAGGAGCCCTCTGTGCGTGCCAGCTGCCCTGTGGCCAGACCCAAGAGCCCAGCTGCCACCTTGGCTTGTCCCAGCTCTGACTTCAAAACCACGGCCACCAATATCTCTCCTGGACTTGGCCTGCCACAGACTGAAGTCAAGCTGGAGTTTACCTGCAGCGAAGAAAATGCCGGCAGTGGCCACAGGAGGAAAGTCCGATCCCTCGGCTCCCAAAAGAAACGTGAAAGGCACTTGTCTCTGCAAAGGAGCAGCTCCTGGCCCCCACCCAGTGGTACATTGGTCCCTTCATCTGACTCGGGCCAAGTGTTCCAGGAGAAGCAGGTAGAAACTGCCTTTGGCCTACTTTCCTCCTGTGGGAAGAGAAAAACCCACTCCGTGAGGAAGCCTGGTCTTCACCCCGCCACTTCCCAGGCAAAGTGCCAGGCTAGCTCTGAGCAGAATAAACCAAGGACAAACTCTGGGATTCAGGGCCTCAGACTTGTGCCTGGGCAGGAACCCCACACACAGCCCGAGAAGAGGAAAGTGTCCAAGCGGAAGGCATGTGGGTGCACAGAGGAAGGAGAGCCGGCAGGACGGAAGGCTAGGTCCTTGTTGTGTGGTGCTAGAGCTGCCCCCTCTACYCCAGCTCTGATTCAGCCCCAACCCCCCTCCCTGCAAATGACCAGTCCTGAAAGGTTGGAGGCAAACCAATCAAGAGAGAATGAGGAGGCGGTGCCAGCTGACCTCACTGTGCATCTGGCCAGAGAGGCGAGGCAACGCCACAAGAAGGGGAAGAAAAAGCGTTCTCATTCTATAGTAAAGAAGAAGTTGGGGCCCCAGCTGAACCTTCAGGAGACCCCCTGCTTGAAAAAGTTGGTTAAAGCTAAGAAAACAGAAAATCAGGGCTTGAATTCTTCCCCGCATTCCGCAGGCCTTCTGCGTGCCACAGGTCTGACACCCGTGTCGGACATCAGACAGTTCTTCACCATTGATTTAAAGAACAGCTGCCGAGTCCTCTGTACCTTGTGTCACGTCAGTGTTAGACCGTGCAAAACTGAGGGGCAGTCCCAAGCCTCAGGCCTCGTCCATCATCTGGCCAGCCAGCATGGGCTAGAGTGGGAGAGAGGGCTAGCTACCAGCAGCCCTGGCAAGGGGGTAGAGGACATGGAACAGGCACAGCTACAGGCCTTGCCCGTGGATGCTGCCAATTTTGACTCAAGGGGGCAACTGGTACCCGTACACCACCCAGACACTGTGTTCTTGGGACAACGTGGCAGAGAGCCAGACCTGGACAGACCTGACCAGCCGCTTTTGTCCTCATCACCCCTGCCTGCTTTCCCCGTTGCAGTCAAGGACAGGCCTAATGACACAAATGCCCCCGAACAACCCCACACGGAGACCTGGAACCATAGCATCACAGAGCTGCTGTGCAGCCTGGCCTTGCCCTTCTCCTTTGTTTCCTCCAAACCCTTTAAGAGGTTCATGGCGCAAGTGGACCCTCGCTACCACCTGCCCTCCCCAGCATTCTTCTGCGACAAAGCCTTGCCCCTGCTCCACGAGGCTGTGGGTGAGCAAGTTCTTCAGGAGATGCAGTGGGCAGAGGAGGGCCATGTTCACCTCACAGCCTCTATGTTGACCCAGGACTCCATGGTGAACTATATGGCTGTCAGTGCCCACTGGGTGGTGGTACAGTCAGGCAGCAAGCTTGAGGCATCGGGAAGCCTGAGGAAGAAAGCCCTGCTCTGGGTCCGAGGCCTGGAAAGAGYGACAGAGGACAGGCAGCCCGAGCTGCTGGATCAGATTAACCTGTGGTTGGGCCGTGGCTCCCTAAGAGCAGGTTTCCTGGTGTCTGCTGGCTGCCCTGACCTGGACCTGGCCCTGCAGGCTGAGGGCTACACCCTCATCCCTTGTTTTGCCCACTGCCTTGACTCCGTGGTGAGCAACTTTCTGTGTCACCATCATAGCGTCCAGATTATCCTGGGCACAGCCAGGGCCATCTACAGCCATTTCCAAGGCTCCGCAGAGGCCCGGAATCTCCTCAGCCAGCTCCAGCGCCAGTGTGGCCTCCCAGCCCAGCAGCCCTTCAAGGAGCTCTCAGACCACTGGAGCTCAGCCTACCACCTGATGGAGTGGCTGGTGGAGCAGCAGCAGGCCCTGCAGGAGTACTCGGAGAAACAGCAGCCGGGCAAGGCCAGCACTGCCCTCTCAGCCATGTTTTGGAGCCTGGCAGACAGTCTGGTCAAGCTCCTGCAGCCCTTCCAGATGGTGATCCGTGAGGCCAGCACAGATCAGGCCTCTTTAAGCCAGGTGTTGCCCCAGGTGCGCTATCTGCACATCTTCCTAGAACAGGTGCATCGGCACTTCCAGAAGCAGGGAGCTGGGGAGGTGGGTGCGGCCTTGCGGCTGGCTGAGGGCTTGGCCTTGCAGCTTTCCACAGATTGTCAGCTCAATGATCTCTTCTACCGAGAGGAATTCGTGCTGGCCACGTTGCTGGATCCCCGGTTTAAGGGCAAGGTTGAGGCCATCCTGCCCGTGGGGGCTGACATTGATCACTGGAAACAAGTCCTTGTGTACAAGGTGAAGGAAATTATGGTTTCCCAGTATTCCCTGCCCACCTCAGGCTCCCTGCAGCGCGCCAGGAGCTCTCGAGTGAGCACCAACAAAGTAGCCAAGGGCCCACGAGCCCAGAAGAAGGGCCAGAAGGAGCCTCTGCAGAAAGGCAGCGAGTCTGGCTCTTTCCTGGTCATCCAAAGGGAGAAGACCTTGCTGGAGCAGCTGGAAAGCGTGGGACTGATGGCTTCAGAAAGCAGCGGGGCCTCGCTGTCCACTGAGAATCACATAGCCAGTGTCATTGTCAGCCGGTACCTGCGAGAGAACGAGACCATCGGGGCTCAGGAGGACCCATTGTATTACTGGGAGAAGAAACGGAAAACCTGGCCAGCCCTGGCCCAGCTGGCCACAGTCTATCTGTCTTGCCCGCCCACAAGAGCCTTCTCTGAAAGTGTCTTTGGTGCCCTGAACAGCCCCATCATCACAGAAAAGGGCTCCCCGCTCAAAGTGGAGACTGTGGAGCAGC